AGCACGCCCTAAGCATGCTTGAGCAACCGATTGAAATAATTTTTTTATCTCCGTTGCAGCATGTACAAATGGACACTCCCAAAAGTTAAATCTATAAAAAAAAAAAAAAAAAAAAAAAAAATTATATAATAGTATTTATTAATTACACATGTATTTGTATAACTTGAAAAAATAAAAAAATAAAAACATAAAAACATAAAAACATAAAATTTGTAAGTAAATACAAAAAAAAAAAAAAAAAAAAATAAAAAAATAAAAATAAAATATATCATAATATGAATTTTCTTATGCATTTTACTTGGTATTTTTTATTAATTCAATAAATGTTATTAATAATCCCCATGGGTGAGGTCTATGTGCTAAAATTCTTTCTAACAAAACTCTGATTATTTGTTCTTGAATAATAATATCATTTGAATGAGAAAATAAAAACAAGATAAGACAAGAAAAATAATGAGTATGAGAATTTGGATATCTAATATGATTCACTATATTTGATAATAATAAATATCTACCTTCCATATCTAATTCTTTTGTTAAAAATAAAAATAATGTGTAAGCTAAATTATTTTTAACGACTGTAACTGTTCTTGATTTTTTATTATTATCATCATTATTTAGTATATTGTGTGAATTATTAGATTTACTTGATAAAACACATTTATTTTCACTATTATCTTCCATAAGTTCCACATACTTTTTTGATAAATTAATTTCATTGCACTTTCTATTTTCCTTTTCTTTGTTATTTTGTTCTTGATTTGATAAATTCATATTTTTTTTAGTGGAATTTTTTTCTTCTCTTTTTAAAATTATCTCTTGCAAAATATTTTCATTATCATCTATGGAATCTCCTTCATACTTACTTAAGAGTAATGGGTCACAATTATTATTAAACTTAAATAAATTATTTACTTTTGCTTTGCAAATACAAGTTCCCACATATAAAGTCAAAGAATTTATAACAACTATATCATATTTTACAAAAAATTGATAAATTTTATTCCTTGGTAATAATAACTTCTCTTTAATTTGGAAAAGCAAAGAATAATCTTTTTTATTGAAATATTCATCTATTAAATCTTTAAGATTATTTTTGAAAAGTGGAAAAATTATATTTGTGAGAATTTTTGGTACTAGTTTAATTTCTTGCAATAAATCAATTTTTAAATCTGACAAAAATGGGTCTGGAAGTTTGATATTTCTAGGAAATGCAGATAGAACAAGATTTCTTAGTTGAATACAATTTAAAGGGAACAAATTACAAAAAGTAACATAATAGCTACATAAAAACTCAGGAAAATCATGTAATAATACAAGAAGTATTCTCAACGTTCCTATATAAAGTGCTTCAATTGCTTTGGATATATGTAGTTTTTTTAAAAAGAATTTCAAAAAAGTGAACAATGCTATTAATAGATTTTTATATGTTCCCCATCCGCAAATACTTGATAATAATTTTGGCATGAAATATTTAGATGATATAAGTTGTAACCATGAAAAACAAAAAGAAGGAACTCTCAAAGGAGATAATAAGGAAAAAGATTTAGCAAAGCAATTTAGGTATATTAAAATGTCATTGGAATGTGCACAATCTTCATTAATATGAATTAATAAGCAATGTAACAATCTAAAATATGGCCTTTGATTAAAATTCTTTTTTTCAACTTCACATCTTTTATGAATAACCCTACAAACTATATTTAAAACTTTTTGCAAAATAACCACTGGAGATATTTGTTCAGTATCCACTAATTTCAGCATAGTTATAATCATTTTCGACCATGAATCAATATAATTATAATTCAGTAATTCATTAAAATTTTTAGTTTCTTTTAATTCTGTTTTTTCTTTAAAACTAATTACTTCATTATTTTCATCTTGCTTAATTTTATAATCTTTTTCATTTTCTTTATTGATGTTTTTACCTTCCATCATTTTACTATTTTCTTCTATACTATCATTTTTTTTGTCGTTTTCTATATTTGCTACCTTTTCTTTTTTATTGGTATTATTAATTTTATTTAATTTTTTATTATCTAATTTGTTTGTTTTATTAAATGTAGATTCTCCTAGATCATTTCTTCCATCATTTTCTTTTTCATTTTTATTTATTTCTTCTTTTTTCTCTTCGTTTTCTTTTTCTTTTTCTTTTATTTTGTTGTCCTTATTTTGTAGTTCACTAATATGTTCATTTTCATTGATTTTTTTTTTTTCTTTTTTTTCCTCCTTTTGTTGTCTTTTTATTAACTCACACTGAACTATGTTATCTTTTTCTAAATTATACAAAGCTATGTTAACTGAAATGTTAATAGAATGAGAAAAGAATTGATCACTTGCCTCATCCATCTTTAAAAATCCAAGTTTTGACAATTTTTGAAAAAATTTCACACATTTTAACTTATGTTGTTGTTTTATAACTTCATACATGGAATTTGATATACTTATTTTTAAAATATTTAAATAATTTTTATATATAAAATACCACTCTGCAAATAGACATGCAATAACTACCCCTTTTTCCTCACTTATTATTGGGGGAGAGGGCAAATACTTACATTTTATAGGTTCTTCATTAAATATATCAGTTAAATAAAAAGTTTTTTTATTCAAGTATTTTTTGTTAATTTTATCTCCGTTAAGACTTAAAATGTTATTTCTTATTTCACTTTTTTGCTCACCTAAAGTTTTTAAATTAATATCTTTTTCAAATTCAGGTTTTATGTAATTATGTGAAGAGGAAAATGTACTTAAAACAGATGCATCTGATAAGGAAGAACAAGAATCAGAAGAAATTGAAGAGGATATAGAATAATCTTCAAAATCAGATACTGAGGAAGATTCTGAAGAAAAGTACGATGAATATTCCGATGATGTTGATTCTGACACTGATTCCTTTGATTTATTAGAACATATAGAATCGCTTAAATTACTATTATCACATTTTTCATTATATTCTTTAGAATTACTTGAAACTTCTCTTTTGTTCATATTTAAATCTTCGTTTTTATTGTATATTTTTTTTAAACATTTATTATAATCTTCTTTATCATTTTTCTTATTAGCATCATCCGTTTTTATGATTTCTCGTTTATTCATTTCCACATTTTCACAATTTTTGTTTAAAATTTCTTTTTCTATTATCTCTTCGGTGTTAAATGCTTTATTTTCATAACTCAATTTTTCTAGTAAAAACATAGTATTTTCATCAACATTATTATTATCATACTGAATTTTTATATTATTTAATAAAAATGACTCGTTATTATTTTCAATTAAATTAGGTGAGAACGTTTTTATATATTTATTATTATCACTATCATTCTGATAGGTTTCTTCATCATTATTTAAAGTATCTTTTTTTTCCGAATAATTATTTTTCGCTTTTGTTTTACTAATTTTTTCTTCTTTATCTGTTTCATTTTCTAGATTTTTTTTCTTTTTATTTTCCTTTTCCTTTTCTTTTTCTTTTTCTTTTTTTATTTCTTTTATTTTATTTTTATCTTCTTTTTTTTCCCCTTCTATTTTATCTACTTTATTTTCTACTTTTTTTTTAATTTCCTTTTCGTTTTCCAAATCATTTTTATTTTTTTTTTTCTTGTTATTATAATATTTAGAAGAGTATATGTATTCCGTTAGAGTTCTTAAAATCTTTACTGGTTCTTCATTTTGATTTTTTTTTCTTTTTTCCTTTTTAATTCCTTTAATCATTTCTGTTAAATTATCTTTAACTTTTTTTAATTTCATTTTTTCTACAGACGAAATGTGCTGGTTATCGTTAGATAAAATTGAATCTATTTTAATTAACTTTTTCACAGATTTTTTCAAATATTCGGGTTTTAAATACTTTTTCTGAATTACTAAATTATAAATCAGTTGTGTGCAAAAATCTATAATGTTCATATTATTATAGTTCTTCAAATATTTTGACATACATTTATCTAAATTTTTATAATGAATAATATTGTAACGTATAAATAATGAAATATGATTCACATTATGATATGGAGAATTCAGTATATACGAAGTTATTAATTTTTTTAGTTCTTTATTTTTTTTACATAACATTTCTAATATACATAATTGTATTTCCAAAAGAATACTTTCTTCATTAATTCCTCTATTCATATTATTATCATCATTAGTGATCTTATTATCTGTATTTAAATTCATCAATTTGTTATAATTGAGTGAATTATTTTTAATATCAGAGTCTTCAACATTATTTGCAATGAGAGTGTTTTCAATATTATTAGAATAATTTAAATTATTTTGCTTAATAATTTCTTGTATATATTTATATAATTTCGTTCCTATTATTTTATAAACATCATCTTTATTGGATGATTTTTCACATATAAGAATAATAATTTTACAAAATACAAATATTTCGTGATTTGTTGACAAGCATGATATTAATAAAAGAGAAGGTATTTCTGCTACTGTGATTTTTTCAAATTTAAAAAATGGTGTTTTAATATTGCAATAATTATCAAAGGTATTTATTGTTGGTATTATTGGAGGAAATGTCAAAATATACTTAACATATTCTTTAATACTTAACATACAAAATTCAAAAAGAGATATTGATTCTTTTAAGTTTATTTTTTTCATGTTTTCTTTTAAAAATATTTCCGAAATAAAAAATAGATATTTTTTTTTGCATAATAAGTCAATATTCTTAATTTTCTTTACACTCATATTTAAATTTTCATTATACTCTGTTTTATTAAAGGGAGACGTATTTAAATCATTATGTTTTGTATCATTATTATTATCCATATTACTGTTATTATTTGTTCCTTCATCAATATACATTATCATATTTTTATTAACCATATTGTTCTTATTATGAATGTCATTATTTATAATACTTCTATTTATTATATGATTATTATTTACAATATCATTATTTATCATATTTTTATATATTACATTATTTTTTTTCATATCATTATTATTCACAATATTGTTATATGCATATGTGTTATTAATTTGTTCATTACATGAAGAATTTTTCATGTTACTTTTTATATTTAAATTTTTCATATTTTTCATATATTTAGCATTAATAGAATTGCATGAATTATTAGTATTATCATTATTAAGGTAATTAAAACTAGTGTAATTATTAATATTAACATTATTATTTATATTATTACTATTAGAATTTTTATTAATATATGTAGCATTATTAATTGTATTATTACTGTTTAGTTTTTCTTCATAAGTGATTATTCCTTGACTGTTACTGCTATCTATTTCATTAAAATTATTACAATTATCAACATAATTTTTTACATAATTATTTATCTGAGTATTAGCACAACTATTCATATTATCTATATTCGTGTAACTATTTGTATTAAAATTATAATCAGAATTGTTGCAGTTAAAATTATTTGCATTTTTATATATATAATTATTATTAGAACTGTTATATAAATTTAAATTACTTAGAAAATTTGAATTATTGTTATTCATATTGCCTAAAATCAAATTTGGATTTTCTTTTATACTATTATTTTTGTATGGCATAAATTTTACTCCATTACTCGCATAATTTAAATTAGGAACATTTTTTTGATGAGAAATATCAGTGTTATTATCTTCATCTTCATTATTTTCATTGTAATATTTTTCATCCATATACATATTTTTATCATTATCCTCTTTAGATTCTTCTCTTCTCGTTTTTGTTAAAGCATCTTTAAATTCATTTTCTTGTTCTTTGTAATCATTAATTTCATAATTTTTTCCGTCTAATGGATTAGATACAAAGTTTTTATTATAAAACATGCTGCACGAATTATCACTCAATATATTTTCATTACTTTTACTATTTTGATAGTTTAAACTTACATTGTCATTATCATTTGTTAAATTATCTTGATCATTTAAATTAGAAAAACATAATTTCTGTTGCAATTTTTTAAAAATTTTTAAATTCATAAAATTTTTATACACTTGAATATGTTTTAATGTTATATTGTGTGCTTTTAAAAATACAGGTAAGGCATTATAATATTTATTAGTTGAATTATCTTTTATATTTAACTTATGAATGCGTGCATATTTTCTGGAAGCATAAATTGGTTTCATAATTTCTTCAATTTCAATAGAGGACTTTTCTATAGCTACTTGTTCTATTATTAAATAAATTAAATTTATATTATCATTAATCAAAGTTTTTATAATATCATCAATAATAGCGCTGTTTCGTTCAGAACAATTTTGCTCAATTACATTTCTTAAATTTTGAACTAAAATATTTTTTAGTGGTTTTTTACAAGAAACTAAAACAAGCGAAGAAGATATACTTGTTGCCATTAACAAAGATGCTTTATGTAAAATTGTTTCTTTTGATTCATTGGCAAAATCTTTTTTCACTAATTCTCTTGTTGTAATACAACCAATTAAAACAAACCTATCTACAACAGATGCAATTATTTCTTTAATTGCAGAATCAAATGATAAATATATTAATGCTTTATACTTGGGGTTTAATTTAAATAATGCAATATTAGGAGAAAATACTATATTTTTTTTTAATATATTTAATATTTCATCATTTAAAGGTTCAATAAATTTGTTATTACTAGCATTATCGTGATAAACTACTTGATTTTTTAAATTTAAGTCGTTATTTGTTGTATATGATGATGATGATACATTCTTATTATTAGTGCATTCATTCATCTTTAATTTTTCTGAATTATTATAAGGAACATTTTTTAGGTTTGAAGCATCTACATAATTATTTTTTACAATTAAATTACCTGATGAAGGATATGTTTCTTTTTTTAGATTATCAAAATTTTCATTTTTTGTTGTACTCTTTCCATTCTTAGTATCAATCATTCTGTAACATGTATCATTTTTATTTAATGTATATTTATTTTTATTTGAACAGTAATTAGGGTTCTTAAATAAATTATTTTTAAATTCTAATTCATTAATTTTCTCTTTTTTTTTTGCAGTAGATTTTAAATCTTTCATTAATAAATCTTCATTACTGTTGTTATTACTACTTTTACATAAACTTTCATTATTTAGCATAGTGGGTAATGATGGATTTTTATTTTGTATATTGTATATATTATTTTCGGTTGTATATACTTCTATATTATTTAATGAATTGTTTTTTGCATACATAGTATTATAATTAGCATCATTCATATAAATGGATACTGATTGATTTTCGTTAATATTATTACTTGGTATTTTTTTTTGAGCATTTTTTTTCAAAAGAGATTCACTGTTGATATTGTTTTTGTTCACAGACTTATAACCTTCTAAATTTTTTAAATTTTTAGAAAGAGATGATGTTAAATTAGAATTAACATATACACTATTATTGTTATTACTATTATTATTACTCAAATTATTTTTTATCATTAATAGATCTGTGGATGGGTTACCAATAACGTTATTAATATTTCTATTGTTATTTATTACATTCATATTATTCATTTGATTCATATTATTCATTATATTTATGTTATCCATGCTAATACAATTACTATTTAAGTTATTAGAATCTTTCATATCTTCATTTTTTCTACTTTTATTTAATAAATTGGGGTTAACGTTTTTATAATTAATAAATTCATTGTTATTAGTTGTAGTAGAAGTAGTGTTATAATTATTTAACATATTGAATCTTATATCTTTATTGATTAAAACACCTCTATTGACTTTATCATTTTTAAGTATGAAATTTTCATTGTAATAATTTGTACAAGAATTACAGGATTTGTTATATATGTTAATTTTATTCGAATTGTTTTCATTCATATAGTTCACATTCATATTAGAATTCTCATTTATGTTGTTTCTAATAAATAAATCATTAGAATTAATTGGTAAATTTCGACACTTTATAATATTGCATTTATTATAATAATCAAATACATTCGTTTTAAAATAATTAAATAAAATTTCTATTTCAAAAACTAAAATTGTTTTTAACGATTGAGCTTCATGTAATTCTCCTAATAAATTTAAAATTCCAACCGTCCAGGGATTAGGAGGTTTGAAAATTTTTGAATTTTTAACACTTTCTAAAATTTTGCACACAGCTGGTAAAGTGACTATCAAGTATCCATTATCATATGAATATAAAATTAACTGCTTAATGTTCATATATTTTGACATTAATGGCTTATTTCTACCCAATGTTATGATACCTATCCATGCACCTAAATTTTTGAGTAATAATCGATAAGTTGAAGAATCTTTCATTAATTCAATAAAATTTAACAAAGTGTTGAAAACATCACATGATAATTGTGCAAAATGATCAAATATTTTTGCAACATTAACTCCATTCAATAAATTTAAATATATTAACATATCTTCTGATGTTTTTTTTTTAATAATAATTTTCAATAAATTAAAAAATACTAAGTCTCTTCTGATTTTCACATCATCGTCTATTATGGTTTCTTTATATCTATCATTAATTCCAGTTATATATTTATTCTCATCATTTTCATCATTATCACTATCTTCTTCATTTAAATCTTCATTATAATAATCACTAGTACTTGAATTTTCATCAAAATTATCATCATAAACATTATTATCTCTATTAATACTATCATTTTCACTTTTTTTTTCTTCCATATTTCTTTTTTCATTACAAGGTTCATTTACTATATTTTTTTGTATTATGTCATTTTCATTTTTATAATCACTTTTTTTCAAATCATTTTTTTTATTTTCTAAACTGTTCTCATTTTCTTTTAGTTCATTTTTTTTTTTTTGATCACAATTTTCTACTTTAATTAACTCATTAATATCTTTAATAGTTTTACCATGTTTTTCACTAATGAAACTTTTACCTTTTAATGAGGAACTATCACTACATTGATTCTCTACTAAATCTTCATTTTGCATACTCAAGATATTTTCATTTATTTTTTCTTTCATTTCTTTTTTATAATTTAAATTAATTTTATCCAAAGAATTATCAATATCATTTAATACAACATCCTTAAAACAAGAATTCTTCTCATTTTTCTTATTTTTCTTTTTTTTCTTTTGTTCTTGCTCTTTCTCTATTTCTTTTTCTAACTTCAATTCTTTTTCCTCTTTTACTTCATTTATATAAATATTTTTTTCTTTATCTTTATATTCCATATTTTTCACTTCGAAAGATTTTTCTGAAATTTCATCGTTGTTTATTTTTAGTTTTTCATCACATGTTTTGAATTGAACTAATTTATCAACATATAAATTACTTTCATTTTCTTTTTTTATATTTTTATTTAGATAGTAAAAATCCTGCTTCACATCATTAACATTATTAAATGTATTGGTATTAACACTTGCTTCTTTATCTTTTTCTTTATCTTCATCAATCTTATTTTTGTTGGATCCCTTCTTATTTAATATTAAGTTTTTTAATTGTTTTCCTTTTATTTTAATATTGAATGTATTTATATTATTTAAAATGCTCGATAATTTATGTTTAAATTTCTTTGTAATAATTTTATTCATTAAATTTTTTTTATCATAACATATTTCATTAAATGCAATATTTAATAAATTTAATGTACTTGCTTCATTATAATTTAAACTATCCTCTAAATTTTCATTAATTTGCTTTTCATTTTTTATATTATCTTTTGTTACTAAATTCATTTTATCATTCTGTTTACATAAATTCACTGTGTCCTTGTTATTTGTAGTTCCTTCTGTGTAATTATTATCTACACTTTTTTTTAAATCCTTTAAATTTTCTTTATCATTGTTAAAATCATTTCTTATCATAAAATTTAAATTATCATTTTCTTGTGCATTTAATTCATTTAATTTTATATTTGTCTGATTAGTAGTCTCATAATTAATACAACTTTTTTGAGAAATTTTCTCCTCCTCATATTTTTGATTCAAACTACTATTTAAAAATATAAAGTTATTTTTTTTTTCTTCATGAAATTTATTCATTTGTATATTATTTACATAATTTTTTTCATTATAATCATTATAAAAAATATCATTGTTATGGAGACTGTTGTTGTAATTCATATAACTTTCATTTATACTGTTTATATCTACATGACTCTTCATACTTTCTTCTAAATAATTATTTTCATAAATATTATTTTGATTAAAACCATATTCTAAAACAGTGGTTTCTTGTTGAGTAGCTTTTTTCAGATTTAGTTTATTTATATTTTGATTAGGATTAAATCTTGAATTCGTATTTTCTATATTAATAGAATTATTTAAATTAAAATTATTATTATATATATTAAAAATTTCATTATTGTTTAAATTAAAAAACTTACCAGTATTACTTGAATCACCTATATTATTTATATTATTCATATTACTAAAATTATTTATATTATTAAAATTATTCATATTATTAAAATTATTCATATTATTAAAATTACTCATATTATTATAATTATTTATATTATTTACATTATTTATATTATTAAAACTATTTAATCTATTAAAGTTATTAAATGCTTTCATTTCCATGTTATCTGTATTATAATTGTTCACATTTTCATCTAAATTAATAATGTTTTCATTATTATCAAAATCGTTTATATATTTTGCATGTATTTTGTTATTTATGTTATATGTTTCATTAATTTTATTTATCGAATTTATAGTTTTGTAATTATTTATATTATTATACTTTCCAATAATATCATTAACAAAAGCAACATTATTATTATTATTAATTTCATTGCTATCATTAATATTCCCATTATTGTTATTTATATAATTTCTATTAATAGGAGCATTATTATTATTCATATCATGAATCACACTATTACTCATATTATTATTACTATTATTAACATTATTATTAATACTAGTATTATTCCTATTGTTAATTATATCAATAATATTTCTCTTTTTCTTATCATCAATAATTATAGTGTTATTATCTTTATTATTATCATTGTCCTTATTACTTTCATCGTTTTTATTATTATTATTGTCTTTATTATTGTCATCTTTATTATTATTATCTTTATTACTTTCATCGTTTTTATTATTATTATTGCCTTTATTATTGTCATCTTTATTATTATTATCTTTATTATTGTCATTATCTTTATTTTTATTATTATCTCTATTATTATTATTATTATTATTGCTATTGTTATTTTTGTTATTATTATTATTATTATTATTTTTGTTATTATTATCATTATTATTATTATTATTAGCATTATTATTCTTATCATTATTATTACTATTTTCATTATTATCATTATTATTATTATTTTCATTTTTATTACTATTTTCATTATTATTATTTTCATTTTTATTACTATTTTCATTATTATCATTATCATTATTATTATTATTTTCATTTTTATTACTATTTTCATTATTATTATTTTCATTTTTATTACTATTTTCATTGTTATCATTATCATTATTATTATTATTTTCATTATTATCATTATCATTATTATTATCATTATCATTATTTTCCTTATTATTATCATTATTATTATTATTATTATTATTATTATTATTATTATTATTATTATTATTATTATTATTATTATTATTATTATTATTATTATTATTATTATTGTTGTTGTTGTTGTTGTTATTTTTGTTATTATTATTATTGTTGTTATTGTTATTATTATTGCTATTGTTATTTTTGTTATTATTATTATTATTGCTATTGTTATTTTTGTTATTGTTATTATTATTGCTATTGTTATTTTTGTTATTATTATTATTATTGCTGTTGTTATTTTTGTTGTTATTTTTGTTATTATTATTGCTGTTGTTATTTTTGTTGTTATTACTGTTACTATTGTTATTTTTGTTGTTATTATTGTCCCTGTTATTTTTTTTATTATCATGATCTTTGTTACTAATAGGTTTATTGTTATTGGTATTATTATCTTCATTATAACAATTAATACCCAAATTATTGTTTTTTAAATCTCTTTTTATAATTTCATATATACTATTTGAAATTTTAATATTATTACAAATAAGTTTATCAGTATCATGTTTATTATTTAATAAAGTTGGATTATTTTCATTTATAGAATTGTTACTGTTAACATTTATGCTTACGTTTTTATCATAAGAACAATTTTTTCCATTACTAATTTTATTTATATTTTGAACAGTTTTAAAATTAATGAATGAATTAGAGTTACTCACATTATTTAATTCTGTATATACAGAATTCATATTTTTATCATCCCTTATGCTATTTGAATTGTTTGTTACATTTTCACTATAATCTTGATTAATTTTTTCATAATTTTCTTTGTTTTTACTAGTTTTTTCATAATCATAACTAATGGGTTCTTTATCATTTGTATAGATATTTTTTTTTTGTAATATTTCGACTGATACATTCAGGGGTTGTCCTTCATCAAATTGATTTGCATAAGGTTTATTTTTCAAATTTTTTGAATTATTCCTTCTACTATAATTTTTATCATTTTTTATATTTCTATCATCTTCTTGTATAAGTGATATATTTTCAATCTTACATATATTTTCTTTCATATTTATATCTAATTTATTTATATATTCACTACTTTTCTTGTTGTTTTTAAGTATTATGTGATTATCTTGATAATTCAAATTATTATTTTCATTGCTATTACTAAAATAATTGCATGATGTACTTTCTAACAAAATATTATCACAATTATTTAAACCATTCTTCAAATGATTTTTTATGTTGTTATTAATAATTTCACTATTCAGATGATTATCCTTACTGTTGCGTTCTTCGTAGTTAATTATTTTATTATTTGTTTTACTAATATTTGAATTAACATTATAATTCAAGCTATCAATATGACTAGCATCGATATTACTACTGTTTCTTTGATAATTTAGATTTATGCTACTTTCATTGCATTCTTCATATTCGTAATTTATTGGATTTTCATTAGCATTTAATAAAACATTTGTATTATTTTGCTTACTTAAATTTATGCTTAAATCTTTCTTTTTAATTATGCAAAAAGGCTCTTTTATATTCGTATAATAATTACTTTTATCATGGTAATCCATTCTCATATTTTAATAATGTAAAAATACATATTTATGATTATATAAATACATATTTTTTTTCTTGATATTTTTAATTTTTTTTTTTTTTTTTTTGTAAATCTAAAATATTTTAAAATTATGACAAAAATTAAAAAAAAAAAAAAAGAAAAAAAAAATTAAAAATACATTAAGTATAGAATATTAAAAATATATTAAAAAATAAAACAATTGTAAAACAAGTTAATTTTAAATTAAAAAAAAAAATAAAATGAAATAAAAAAAAAAAAAAAAAAAAA